ACAGGAACAAAAATGACAAACAATTCCTAGGGAAACTATAGGAAAAGACACACGACTTAAAAGCTCACTCTGAGTTCTTCTTCAAGTCCCTTTTTTCGCATGTCCTGGACTCCGAAGCCTGCGAAAGCGAATGCCCTCCTTAACTGCGAGATTCTCTGTGGGGCCCATGCGTGCATCAACAGCTTGCACTGCTGCCCAGAATGTGACGACTCCTCAGTGGAGGATCTTGGGGCCATTAGGTGTTATCTTTGGATTTAGGGCTTTTGGGCTTAGGATCTAGGTTTTATAAGCTTCTGGGCTTTTGGATTTAAAGTGTAGGGTTTAGGACTAGGATCTACCTATAGGCCCCATAGTAGTTCCTTTTTGGGATTACCGTTTTGGGGGGTTCTACATATGACCCCAAAAAGGAACTCCTATGGGGCCTATGGGTAGGATCAAAGTAAACCCTAAACCCTTTATAGAAACCTTATAGATCCCTTTAAGGAACCCTGAAAGGGATCCCTTTAAACGTACCCCTAGCGCTAGGGCCGTGAGAGCTTCGGGTTGCTTCATTTGGGTTTCAGGTATGGTGAGACTTCACGGTGTTGCTCATGGTTTAGGGTTTAGGGTTTAGGTTTTAGGTTTTAGGGTTTAGGGTGGGCTGGGTTTGTTCAGGGTTTTTGTGCTTTGGGTTTTAGCTTTTGATTTGGCAGTGTAGATTTAGGGCCTTGTGTTGAAGGGCAGGGTTTAGCATTGTGTTTCAGTTCTTGCGGTTGGGTTCGGGGTTTCGGGGTTTAGGGTTCAGGGGTTCAGGGGTTTGGAATGGGGTTTCTTAGCGTTTTCGGTTTTAGGGCTTTGGGCTGTGGGTTTCAAGGTTTTGGGCTTTGGGTTTAGGGTTTTGGGGTTCTGGGCTTTGGGGATCTACGTAAGTATAAGGTTCAGGAGGCAAAACTGCAACCCCACCAGCAAGGTGTCCTCGAAGGCAAGTCCCAGTAGCTAATTAGCCCTCAGCCCCTGGCACTACATGCCATTTATTGGAAGCCCGGTGTGCGGCACCATGACATAGATAGGTTCTGGGATTTGGAAAATTTGAGGGTTCGTGGGTTTCAGGCGTTACCCAAAGGCCCCAAAGTCGTTCCTTTTTGGGAGTACCCTATAGGATTCCATATATGAACCACAAAAACGGAAGTACTATGGGGCCTTAGGGTAGGTCAAAGTTTGAAGTTCACAGGGTTCTTAAAATTCGTGGGTTCTTAGGATTCGTGGTCCTCCATATCGCGATCTCACTTCAAAAACATCTACGGGTCCCTGCAAGCCAGGTCCTACATCATTAGACTAGGGGATTGGTGTGCTTTAGGAGGTCAGGGGTCTAGAGTCTAAGGTGTATAGGGGTTTAGAGTTAAGGGAATATGCCGACCCCTTATATCAAAGGCATGGTAGCGAGACTGCCGGCACACCGCTCCCCAGCAATACAGCCGTCAGAGCCGTGGAGAAAAGCGCCCCAGAGTAAAATAGATTCGTCGGCGCGTATGGCGGCAAAGGCGCTCCGGGTGGCCTGAATGGCCTGCACGTTCTTGAGGTTCTCCTGGACCGTACCTTAAACTACCAAACCCTACTTTTTTGTAGGCTCTTATTATAAACCTTAATATGGAATTTTTTCGGGACCCTACAAAAAAGTAGGTTTTGGTAGGTTCAGGTACTGCTGTCACCAGCAGCAAGAGCCATGCCCCATGTCACCACAGATCCGTCTCCTAGGATGGCCGCAAAGGCAGCGTCGTTTGCTTGGATCGCCTGCACGTCGCGAAGAGCCTCTTGAACCTGGGCTCTTGTTAAGGGGTCTAAATTAAAGTACCATAACAAGGAAACCATCTTATGTACTATAGATCCCTATTATGGTAACTTACATATCCCTTAACAAGAGCCCAGGAACTGCTGAGCTGTCACCACCATCTCCACGATCTCCCCAGCTCACGACGGATCCGTCATCGAGGACGGCTGCGAAAGCACTTTTGCTGGCCTGGATGCGATGAACCATCCTGAGCTTCTCCTTAGTTGCTGAGTTCATAAGTACACTTTCAGTTTTATAGTAGGTATTATATCCCCCAAAGTGTAAAGTGAATCCACTCAGCTACTAAGGGACCATCCTGAGCTTCTCCTGAACGGGGCTGCTGTCACCGCCAAATCTAGCATCTCCCCAACTCACAACAGACCCATCAGCAAGGATGGCAGCGAAGGCAGAATGGTTAGATTGGATGGCCTGTACCTTCTTGAGCTTTTCCTGAACGGTACTGCTATCACCACCACGTCTTGGCGATCCCCACGCCACTACAGATCCGTGGAAAGTTATGGCAGCGAAGGCGCCGCTGCTAGCTTGGATTTTCTGCACGTTCTTGAGCTGCTCCTGAATGACTCTGCTGTCACCACCGAAATCGGCAGCCCCCCACGTCACAACAGATCCATCGGCAAGGACGGCAGCAAAGGCATTATTGCTAGCTTGGATTTGCCTCACGTTCTTCAGCTGATGTTGGACCGTTGAGCTGTCACCGCCGGAAAGAGCACGACCCCAGGTCACAGCAGACCCATCGCCCAGGATTGCAGCATATGCAACCAAATTAGCCTGGATGTCTCGCACGTTCTTCAGCTGCCTTTGGACAGCACTGCTGTCACCACCATCTGCAGGATTACCCCATGTCACGACAGATCTGTCGGAAAGTAAGGCAGCGAAGGTAGACCTGGTAGCTTGGATGTGCTTCACGCTCTTCAGCTGTTCCTTGACGGCACTGCTGTCGCCACCAGATCCGGGAGAACCCCACGTCGCCACAGACCCGTCAGTAAGGATGGCAGCGAAGGCGGAAGCATTCGACTGGATCTCGCTCACGCTCTCCACGGCTGCGCTGTCAATACCCCAAGGAACAGCACATCCGTCACCCAGGATAGCAGAGAAAGCTAAGCTGCTTCTTGCTACACGAACTGGCTGGGTGCAAAGCATCAAGTCGTCCATGTCCCTTAGCTCAGCTTCTTCGACCGTCAGGTGCCCATCTAGGACACACCCGGAAGATGTCATCAATCGACTTCGGCCGATTCCGAGAAGCTGTTGCGCTTTTCTCCGTAATGCATCTACAGAGCTGTCAAGTGGCGCTTCGATACCGATCCGCTTTCCACTCAGCAAGGACACAGAAAGGCGAATGGGCATCATGCAGACGAGGGCGCCACGTCTTGGCCTATGATGGAATTCGACTCCCATGCCCGAGCCCGAATCAAACTGTTTGTTTCATCCCCTGGGGATGAAAGAGCCCTCTTTGAAAGTTTCCGAAAACAGGGGACCCTAATATAGTACCCCAAATAGTAGGATCCTTATTGTTAGGACCCCCAGAAAAGGTACCCCCCCATTTTCGGCAACTCCCATTTCCGAAATTATGCATTCTTTAAGCCCAGCTCCATGCTCCTAAAGAACCCTACAGCTTAACCCCCGGAGAGATAAGCCATGAACTGAGCGACCGGGCCAACCATCGCGAGTCAAGGACAGGGCTACATGTATCAGGGTTTAGGAGCTAGAGTTTAATGCTATGTACCCTGAACTACGAGGAGTTTATAGTCTACTGTATTTAGCTCGACACTTTAGCAGTCATAGTGGTTCCACTTTAGCGGCTGCAGGACCCAATAATAAAGGGGCTTGATGATGCTGATAGAGCTTTGGGGGAAAATTGTAGCATAGTTATATGAAGGAACCCCCAACAGGAACAATAGCACATGTTACATATGTGGGTTTCTGCACTTGCCCAGAGACTCCAACAGCCCTTGGTTACGGAATATTCCTTAAATTGAATTAGGGATCCTACAAGTAACTATAATTTAAGGCATACTGTATTCCTTACTTAAGGGATATTGGAGTCGAAACCCTAAACCCTATAGATCCCTCATAGATCCCTTAAAGGAGCCCTGGGTAATCCTTAAAGGAACCCTAAGTATCCCTTAAAGGACCCCTAGATATTCCTTAGTTAAGGGAGATTTGAGTTACTGGCTGGATGTCCCAAAGGCTCCATGTACCCATATAGTAGGTACTTAGGCCTTAAAGTAGCCATATAGGGACCCCTTTCTGGCCTAAGTACCTGCTAAATGGGTACATGGAGCCTTTGGATGTGTGAGAGGCAGCTTAAGGGAGCGGATCTCGGGGTTCCGTTGTTTGGAGGTTAGAGGTTTCGACATCAGAAGTTTAGGGTTCAGGGTTTTGACGGGTTTTAGGGTTTTGAGGTTTTTGAGGGTTTAGGGGGTTTAGGGGGTTTAGGGTTTTGAGGATTTGGAAGGTTTAGGGGGGTTTGGGTTTAGGGTATAAGGTTTTGAAGGCTTAGGGTTCAGAGGCGGGTTTAGGGCTTCGGCAGCAGAAGCTTTGAGTTGAGGTTTGTTCGTGGCTTTAGGGTTTCGACATCGGGGGCTTAGGGTTTAGGTTTTCTGTGGGGTTTAGGGGTTTCGACATCAGGAGGCCATAGTTGTCCGAGTTCTACCGTATATCAATAAGGGCTCACAACCTGCTTTGTGGTGTTTGGCTTACAGCTGCAGCTAAGCGCGCAAGCCTACATGCTAAACCTACTCACCCCTTACCTAGACCCCCCAAAGCAGGCAAAAGAATGGCCCAAATCCTATCAAAGGCCATTATTCTACATACTTTGGGGGTCCAGGTAAAGCCCAACAGGCAACAACCCTTAACCCAGGCGCCCCCTCACCTGCCAGAGCCCTCAATGCTTTGGAGAGACAAGCGAGACCCAGTACTCCGGCAAATGCGGCACATCATATCTTGTCACTGGAGGTAATACACTGAAGGATATAAGGCTTCGCCTCGGAATCTTCAAATGGCAAATATTGCGAAAGTCAGCGGCAAACTCCAGCTAAGCCACAAGCGCGGACGTGCATTAACGTCCACAAAGTTACAAGACCCCAAACCCTGAAACCATGAAGAAGAACATTCGCCACGAGGCCTTGAAAACTGAGCAGAAATCATCCTGCACATTATGTCCGCCATGTGTTCATCTGCATGTCAAGGCAAGAGCTATCTGCGGCAAGGCACGCTGTGTCTCGTTCATGGGCGATATGTCGCTGTGCATCTCCTTGCTTCAGCCGGTTCCGTTGTCAGTGAGGGAACTACGGTCGAAGAAAACCCTACAGGCGGAAACCTTCTAAGCTTTTGGTGCTTAGGAAGTGGAATTATGTCATTTGAAGGTGATGATGCCGCCTCCCCATGCCAGGGTGTTAAACTTCCATTACGGAAGACTGGTGCCAGTGCAGTGGGACTCGAGCCTGTGCCCTACTTAAAGGCCCATGAGACTTAGTAACAAAGGTTATTATTAGGGTAACTATACTCAAAGCTGCTCAAAACCGCAATTAAGGTACTTATAACCCTACATACTAAGTCCCATGATCCTCCAAGTAGGCGTTCAAACGCCACATTGGCAAGTTTGCGGTTGTCCACTGCTTGCATGTACCCATGCAACTTCCATCGACGTGCTGGTGCGGATGCAGCTTCTGCATAGGGTCTCAGGATTTCAACTGATTGGACCGAAAATCCTTGTAGCCACTGGGATCATGCTCTTGTAATACAAAAGTGCCCTACACAGACGTAGTTGGCAGAAGTTTAGGACAGGGTTTAGGGGCTCAGGTGCGGAGTAGTGATTAAGCAGGACAATACGGCTGCGTAGAAAGCCCCCAGGCCTTCATTTAAGCAATACACCCTAAATCATAATAAGCACTCGGATCCTTCTACGGCATCTGCTTGCTTTAGGGGGACACTGGAGCTCTGGGTAAAACAACACCCACGCACTGGCTCGTTGGACTCTGAAACAGACTATGACAACGATGATGTCATTAGGGTGTAAACTTTGTAGGGTCTGTTGGGTTTGGGTTTCAGAGCTTGCAGGTCTGAAGCTTGTAGGGTTTAGTTCGAGCTTTTGGGGTTTATAGGCTTCAGGTTTACAGGGCTTAGGGTAGAGCCGACACAGGGTTTCAACTCTCGAATATGCTAGCCACAACCCCCAGAACATAGTAGAACATGAACACTCCATCCGCCACACTGAGTCTAAGATCTAAAGCCTGACCCTCAAAGCTAAGCCCGCAAACCCCCAAAGTCCAAATCTGGAACGCTCAACGCCATGCATCCAAGGACTTGAGAGATCCAACAGCAACGTCCCTGGAAGCATAGGGTCAAACCCTGAGCCCCACCTACAGTCTCCATTGCAGTTCCTGTTTCTGGTTAACGAACTGTATGGTTCGGATCCTCTAATATAAATCTGCCTAACCAACGAAGGAGCTACAATGCGAACTATAGGAAGAGCCAAAAATCGGCGTCCCAAGCTTCTATGACCCAGAGGGTCCAAAGTACCGATATAGTAGAATGCAGGGTTTCCATATTAGGAATTACTATTATGACTTAGGGAAAGCAACTCGAGGCCCTCGGACTCTTGGTCTACGGCCTTGGCCTTTTTTTGAGCCCCTCTTTCTACCCACGGTGCAAGCTGCAAGCAGAATTTTTCTAGGACCAGGGGAAGTGAGCTGTTGGATTTAGGGCTTAGGGCTTGTAGGGATATTGGTTTGGGAAGTAGGGATCAAGGTTTCAGAACAAGGATGTTGTTGCTCAGGCATCAGAGATGACCCATTCGGCCCTTAGGTTTATATTACATGAACTAACCAACATGGCTCCGAAAAGCCCTAAGCAAACTTTCTAGCACCCCTAAACCCTATTAGCCCTGAACCCCTAAACCCTCTAGACCCGAAGAAGCCCTCAACCCTGAACCCCTAAACCCTACACCCTAAACCCTAACCCTAAACCCTAAACCCTAACCCTGAACCCTAAAACCCTCAGCCCTGAACCCCGGTCGAGAGCTTGTCCTGCGCCGGTGCGCCGGGCAGGCTGACCGTGTAGTTCAACTCCACAAGCCTCAACTTCGGAGAGGTAATCTAGGGGCCTTTATAATTGGAATAGGGTTCCTTATAAGGCTCTATATAGGGCTACTATAAGGGATCTACAAGGGTACTATAATATAGGGACCTTAACAAATAGAATAGGGCATCGGGGTAGGGTTGGGTTTAGAATTGTTTGCGGTTTAAGGTCTTTGTAAGGCAGACGTCAGCTCAAACCCCAACCCGGCAATCGCAAACCTTACAATTACCCATAGGCCCCAAAGTAGTTCATTTTTGTGGTCCATATATAGAACCCTATAAGGTAATCCCAAAAAGGAACTACTATGGGGCCTATGGGTATAACTTATAAACCCTACACTCTAAACCCTCTCATTTCTGAGATCCTCACATCCTGCATGGAAAGCTTAAGCGTCTGTGTTTGTGATGAAAATTGTGGTATACTGCTTCGGGAACACTGTCCTTGCAAGAGGGCTTCTTCAGGACTTGATCCTTCAAAACTGCTTTCTTTGTGGGAACTGGCGAGCAGTCGTTGGCAGCCTGGCTGAAAGAGCCCTTCACGGTTGACGGGGTCTGCGGGATCTCCAAGGACCTGATCATGTCCAGATCCACACGTCGCTTCTAGGCATCCTGGTGGCTGCAATTGCAGACGAATGGAGGGAGCACCGCGACCACCCCTTCTCGCCCCAAACCCAAGCCCGGCATTATCCAGCAAACTTCATTCCTACTGCTGATGGACAAAATCCTGCATTACCCATTATAAGGAGTATACCATAGTTCCCATAGTTTAGAGTCCTTAGGGTCATGCAGGATGTTGTCCATCAGCAGTACCTTAAAAACCCGAAGCCGCAATCAACTGCTAAACAAGCCCTCAACCTTAGCACAATCGAACGTGCGTCCTATCTCGGGCCATTTCTTAGCTTCAGCCTGAAACCCCATGCTTTCCCGGTTGCTTCTACAGGCCCCACACAAGGAAGCATAAGGTCAACCACTAGAGCCTGACAAACCCTAGACCCTAAACAGAGATGATAGTAGACTCTCAGACCAGAGTCTTGCAAACCCATAAACCCCAAAAACAACATCAAACTTCAAAGCCCTAAATCCGAAACCCCAGACATCACAAAAGCGGAACTCCTAAACTCTCGAGCTCTAAATCCGAAATCCTAAACCCCATGCCTAAAAGCCGAAGCCCTAAACCCCCAATTCTCAAGCCCTAAACCCTAGACCCCATTGATCCCTTACAGGGAACCTTAAGGGCTTTTGCTTTAAAGAGTGACGGTCTTCTGCCTTTGCAAGTACACTCTAGGCGTGAACCTCAGGGCTTTCGGGTTTTAAGGAAACTTATAGATTTTTAAAGGAGCTCTATAGATCCATCAGAGCGTGAGAGGGGTTTAGGGTTTTAAAGTTTTTAAGGAACCCTGTAGATCCCTTAAAGGAGCTCTATAGATCCATCAAAGCGTGAGGGGGGTTTAGTGTTTTCCTAGACCACCAAAAACAGGTAAAATGATGGCCCAAATCCTGTAAAAGGATATTATTCTACATACTTTTTGGGACCCAGGTTATGGTTTTTAAGGAACCCTGTAGATCCCTTAAAGGAGCTCTATAGATCCATCAAAGCGTGAAGGGGTTTAGGGTTTTAAGGATAACCCTCAGCCCGAAGCCCAGTCGTGTGGAAGCCTGGCAGTCTCGCATAGCCCCAGCTGCAAAGCGACTGGGGCCAGATGATGCAGAGCCTTTCCCAGACCCTACTTCCTTAAAGGGCTCCTTAAAGGGATCTATAGGGTTCCTTATAAAGGGATTTATAGGGTTTAGGGTTTAGGGTCTACTTGGGAGGATCATGGGACTTAGTAAGTAAGGTTTTAAGTACCCTAATTGGGATTATAAGTATAGCTTCCCTAATGATAACCTTAGTTACTAAGTCCCTTGATCCTTTAAGTACGGATCTAAGGACTCACATATTAAGGGTTTTGGGCCCGAAGACTATACTATACTCTTGGGCTATTTTGATCCCTAGGGAGAGTGAAGGTGTACAGTATGAGGTTTGTTATACAGCTCACAGACCCTTTAGAGCTTCAATTTGGGAAGGGTATAGCTTTGGGGCTTTAGGGCTTAGGGGCTTTCGGGCTAGGATGCAGGGGTTTCGGGCTTAGGGGGGCTGTGTCGGCTTGGCTTTAAGGTTTATGTCGCTGCACAAATGGGGTTGCCAGGCTTGCCTGCCGAGCTGCCAACGGTACCTAGTTGCTGAATTCATAAGCCCCAAAAAGTGTAGACTTGCAGTTTTATATTATACGGTTGATGATATAAATCCTGCATTACCTTAAGGACCCTAAACTATGGGATATATGTTATATTCCTTACTATGGGTAATGCAGGATTTACATCATCAACCGTAGTAGGTAATATTCTCCCCGAAAGTGTGAAGTGTATCCACTCAGCTACTAAGGGTAATGAGCTTAGGTCCAACTTGGGGTCGCCGCTTCCTTCCGGAGAAAGCCCCAGCACTGAGATCTCGGTGCTACTCTGCGTTCTTCCGTGTTGCGTAACTTTTCACCCTTGCAACGCCACATCACAGCAATCCCTGAACTCTGAACCCCAAACCCCTCAACCCTGCTTAAAGGATCATGGGACTTAGTAACTAAGGCTATAATTAGGGTAGCTATACTGCTTATATATCCCCAATAAGGGTACGTATAACCATACTGACTAAGTCCCAGTTTCCTCCAAGTGAATCCCTAACACCCTGAAGCCGAGCATCCTCAACCCTGACCTGCCTGAAAGACGGGCTCGCTCACGGGCGTCCGGAGAATGTGGCGGGCCTGGCCATCCATGCAGGGTGGGATGGGAGGTTTTGGGTGCATAGGGCTTACCTCAAGCCGGAATAACCTACCTCTTTAAGGACCTATATAAGGAAATCATAGTACGGAACCCTAAAAAGGTAGGTTATTCCGGCTTAAGGTAAGAGATAGGAGTTTAGGGTTTATCGGGTTTAGGGTTTTGAGTTTAGGGTTGATGGAAGGGCAGCGAAAAGAGGGGAGGGGACTTCAGGGCATAGTTCAGGGTCTTGAGCGGCTCAAGATTCAAGCTCTCAGGGGTCTAGATTAAACCCTGAACCCTACACAGTGACGCGGCATTGCCACAAGATCATGAATCCCTAGGGCTCCAAGTGCACAAATAGTACTTACTTTGGGATCTAAGAGTCAATGGTACCTACTTTGGGCCAGGTGGAGCCCGAGGGTTCGTGGCTAAAGACCCGTTCACTGCAGAGTCTCACCGCCCATGCAGCCACAAAGAGGTCTTATTGCCTTCCCCAGATGAAGGAAAGCTGTTGATGGGTTAAGGCATGAAGGATTTGCATTGGGATTACATGCTTGACAGGCATTTTGCAAAGGCAGCCATGCATCGGCTTCTAATGTCTTCTCATAATGTCCGGGAGAAACAGGATAATTAGGATGTAGGCTAAGGTTTAGGGTTTAGGGTTTGGGTTTAGAGTTTAGGGTTTGGCTCTGGGTTGAGCTTACAAAACACCGTAAAGCCTACATCATCAACCCCAAACCCTGAATCCTCAAAGCCCGAAAGAGGGACGCCAGAGCACAAGAAACCTCAGACTTCACACATGCCAGCGGAGCCGTTGGGGCCCGAACCGGATCTGTAAGCCTGGGTGCAGCCCCCCAGCATGTTTAGACTTTTTTGGGGGACGTGGGGATTAGGGCCGCCCGGAGTTCGGACATGGGGTTTGCTCAGTGTTGCTCAGTTTAAGTGGTGAATTCGGGCCGCTTCAGGCTTCGCACATTGTGAGTCAAGAGAGATCTGCCTCAAGCCCCAGAGGCTTAGACTCCAAAACCGTTGCCTCCCCTCCGCCTTGCCGAAGGCTCCCAAAATACAATCCCTCACCTATAGTCTCCATTGTACTTCCTTTTTTTGTTAACCAAGTTTATGGTAGGATCCTAACCATAAAACCGGTTAACCAAAAGGAACTACAACGGAGACTATACTCTAGGTAGTTTACGAACCCTAGTCCTAGACCCAAGCTGTCGAGCTGCGATGAGTGCCAACGGAGATACATACAGCTTCAGTTCTGGTTTTGCAAGACCATATTCTCGAAGCTAAGCTTCAAAAAACCCTGAACAAAAAACAACTCTAAACCACAAGTGTCCACAACCTTACATTCGTACATGCACCCACGATAACGCATCTTCAAATCCTGATGATCCAGAATGCTCAACAGCCCATAAAGCTCACACCCAAAAACCTGAAAATCCCTAAGCTCTATCTACAGCGTAAACCTCGCCCGACAAAACAGTCACCGAGCCGTGTGCCATCTTCGCAGCTGGTGAGAGAGCGCTTGTAGGCTCGGGCGCTGCACCTGCGACGAAGGTGCTCGTAGGGCGAAGGATCGAGGGTCTTTCCTTGTCTTGTACACCAAAAACTATGCTCAAGAGATTCTGATACTGATACGCAGATAGGCAGACAAACATGTTGGTGTTACTGCTGGTCTTTATATTTAGCTCTTTGCCGCATTGTCTGAAGCGTCTTTGTGTATGCTTGCCTGTGCTGTCTGGTTTCGATTGTGTTCAAGCCATAACCCCTAAACTCAAGCGCAACTCGGCACTCCTGCTTTGCTTCTTCCATCGATTCTATCAGCTACCCAGCCCTCAAGCTCTCTATCTGGAGGAAACCCTCGGCACCCTGATACCTCTATATTCTGACTGAACTGCTAACCTAAACTCGACTAGCCCTGTGCCCTAAACCCTACACCTCAACCCTCTTAAAGCCTAAACCCTACACCTCAAGCCTCTTAAAACCTAAACCCTACACCCTAGACCGTGAACTGGGCGGGCCTTTCGGCCTCGAAACACCGAACAGCGGAATTCCTTCAGTTGTAGGCTCCCCAGCCCTCGACCAAACAAGCCCATGACATTCTCAATTCCTTAGTTGCTGAGTTCAGAAGCCCCAAAAAGTGTACACTTTCAGTTTTATAGTGGGTGGCATTATCCAAAAAAGTGTAAAGTGTATCCACTCAGCTACTAAGACTCATGACCATCGCCGAACAACCCTAAACAAACCACGCGAAACACACGGTAAACCGTTCTTGAAGACAGCGGCTACTGCTGGTTTTACCTGAACTCAACCTTCTCCCAAAGCCGCGAAGCCCTGTGGTGTAAAACCCTAAACCTCCAACTCGAAAACCCAGCGCCACCTCTTCCAAAAGCTTCAGCGCCTCCTTCAGCTGGAGCTTGCTTTCGGTTGAGGGCTCTTTGTCTTGTTCTATAAGGTGTGTATAGAAGGCCCTTCAGGGTGGAGTGTTCAGGGTCTTTAGAGGCATTCGTTTAGGGATTCAGGGCCTGGGCTTGCGTCTTTCTGGTGCTGCACGGCTGGCTTACGTCTTTGGCATAATGACAGGCGTGTTTATGCTCCTTTGTTGGGACTCTGGCCGATTGGTCACATCGAAATTCGAAGCTCTTCCTTCATTGTGCTGGCAACTGTGTCTAATTTGTGCTATTCTCTTCAGTCTGCTGTAGTTCTGCCTACTGTTACACCTGGTAAATTACTATTCGGATAGACAGATCAAGCAAGCATGTCTCACTGAATGGGCAAGTTTCCCGAATCGGGGCTTCAATACATGCAACAGTTTGGAGACAACGCTCTTCCGAGTAGTTCGGGCAATTAAGCAGGCCCCTAGATTACATCATGCATTGGCCTCCTGTGATTGCTCTGCTTCTTTGGATTCATAGTCTGTGATCCAAACCGCCACCGACTGGGTCAGATACTATTTCTCTGGGGTTCCAAATGGCCCAGATTAGGTACTATTTCTAGACTTAGACCCGAAGTAGGTACGATTTGGATACTTGCCCTAGAAATTGGTGGAAGCGAACTAAACCGGAAGACGTAGCCACACTCGAGGCGAACTTCCAAGTCCTCAAAGCAAGGCAACGCAAAGGCATGCAAACGCCTGAGTTCATTGACCATCCCCCCTTAAGAAGGAATGCAACATGGATCATCATATATGATATGCGTAGTTCTCTAAATAAGGGTCCCTGTTTAAGTCCCACAACTAATGCGGCACCCTCATCAAAAGGCCCCCAAAAAAAACAGTAACGTAGAGAACTATACTTACATTCCAAGAGACTCCAATATCCCGTAATTACGGAATATTCCTTTAACTCACATTAGGGATCCTGCTATGATTTCAGGGTCTATTCCTCAATTCCCTTATAGAATCCTTATAGATCCCTTTAAGGAACCCTTTGAGTGATATTCCTTAATTAACGGATATTGGCGTCTCTAGGTTGAGGCGCGAAGGCAGCTTCGTCCGTGATCTACGGCTCCCTAAGGGTCCCAGTACCAAAATAGGGATACTTTAATGGTACCTGTAAGGGTTACTATAAAGGCTCCATAAGGGTTTAGGGTTTAAGGGTCCAGGTGCGCAGATCGTATATAACTTGGCCCGAAAGTATTTCTTATAGGGATTACTGTAAGGCCAAAGTGTGTACCCTAAAGTACCGATTATGGTGACTATTTAATACATGGACCCTTGGGGTTTAGCAACACAGCCCCGACGAAACCGCCTGCCGCAAGGCAGCACAAAGAGGCGCTGGCAGTATGCCAGGGCTCCGGAGAACGCCGAGGGCCGCAAAAGACGCATTGCTCATCAGCAGAAATGTTGGGACTTGTCAGTTTATAAGGGTCTATAGCCCGAAAAGTCCGAGGTACTGTTATGGGGAATACTTCCCCGAATCATAGTAGTAATTCCGAATATAGAAACCGTTCATTCTACTATATGGGTGCTTTGGACCCATTCGGTAGGGCTTATAGGGTTTAGCTGCTCCAACAAATGCGACACTTTTTGTTTCTTGGCCTGGAGCGAGTGGTGAGTGGGGCTTTAGAGATTCAAACAATCAGGTTCATGTAGGGAATTGGGGATCTCGTGCAGGGTAACCCTCAACTCCGAAAACCTAAACCCCGCAAGCCGTCCTCTTGTAGTTGAGTGCTTTCTATTGTAGGGCTGTAGCTCGAACCAGCTCGGGGACATCAAGTGCTGCTAGTTCCCTGGAATTTGCGCTTGCCGGTTGTTTGTCACTTTTCAATGTTCAGGTTTCGGGGTTCAGGATTTCGGGTTCGAGTTTGGGATTTCATACAATCTGCTTCGAGGTCCGACAACTCAAGTCGTGATTCAATTACTCCACTTGGAGGATCATGGGACTTAGTAAGGTTATAAGTACCTTAATTGGGGTTATAAGTAGGTATAAGTACAGTTTCCCTAATAATAACCCTAGTTGCCGAGTCCCATGATCCGTTAAGTATGACTACCTTGTCGGCGTGCTGGAGTTCAGCGACCCCAGAGCAGATCGGAGAGGTAGAAGCAGAGACATGAGCGGATATGAGTAGTTGTTGCGAGCACCGACAGATGTGCCACATGGCAATGCTATTCTAAACAAATTGCATATCTCTCCAGACTTGATTGAAATCGCAACCCAAGAGGATCTCTAATGTACTCATCAATCCGGCTGTGTCGCGATGTTACCGAACCGATCGTAAGTTTAGAACACCCGATACTTACCCTATTTATGGATTTTTGGTACCCAAAAAAGGCCCCAAAATTCCATAATAAGGAGTACCTGGACCCTTAAAGGGAACTCCAGAAAGTTGGAATATGGATTAATGGTAGGACCCTTAGGACCCCCAATAATTTACCTTAATTAAAGGGGTTACGATAATGATATTCCAACTTTCTGGCTTCTACAGTAGGGTTACACTCAACTTCTCCTCCACCCTCTGGCCTGGCGACCCGTTCGCGGAGCTCCACATCGGCACGCGCAGACTGACAACAGAGGCAGGAGCGCAGTCGTAGGCACAACTTTTACCTGGACCCCAAAAGTATGTAGAATAAGCCATTATTTTACCTACTTTGGGGGGTCGAGGTAGGGACTACTGTAGCTAGCGCCAGCAGCTGAATTGTGTTTGACCCTTTCACGGTTCGGGCTTTTATGGCCTTTAGACATCCAGACAACGCTGATGGGAAACTCTTGGGGAGTAGTGTCTACCCATAGACCCCAGAGTAGTTCCTGTTTGGGGTTCACATGTAGAATCCTATAAGCTAATCCCAAAAAGGAACTACTATGGGGCCTATGGGACCTTCGCCGCCGTCGCTGCCCTCGTCTTCGCTGGCGGCGCTTTGAAAGGCTGGCTGAGGACCGGGCCAGCTCCGGAAGCCAGAGGTTGCCCGGCTCGGCCTGTCGCCGTGCCTCCCTTCTTCCTCTACAAAAGACTCCCGCAGGGTCGGCATGGCTGTGGCGAAGCAGCTGAATCCGTTCAACCGGCTCGCATTTCCTGGGCTTCTGCTTCGCCTCCTTCTTCTTAGACAAGTCGCCATCGCCACCATGGCTTCGATTTCAAGATAATGCCTTACCGGGACCCCGAAACTTTAATAGAAACCCAAAAACTTAAAGTCCTAAATCCCCAAACCCTATCCCCTATAGATCCCTTATAGAAACCCTTAAAGGAACCCTTATATAGGAACCCTTAAGGGTACCTGAAGTTTCTTATGCCAGGATCCTAACAAGGCCTCATCTATTCAGGCAATCGTCCTCGGGCCCACAGCTGAACCCAGTATCCCCTATACTACCTATAGTCTCCATTGTAGTTCCTTTTATTGAAGCTTGGTTGACCAGTTTTATGGTTAGGAACCTATAATAGAGATTTTGGGTAACCAAAAAAAGTAACTACAATGGAGACTATACTACTTGGAGGTTCATGGGACTTAGTAAGGTTCCTTGAAGGGCTCCTGAAAGGGATCTAGAGGGTTCCTTATAAAGGGATCTATAGGGTTTAGGGTTTAGGCTCTACCTGGGAGGATCATGGGACTTAGCAACTAAGGTTATAAGTACCTTAGTTGGGGTTATAAGTAAGTATAAGTAGAGCTACCCTAATCATAACCTTAGTTACTAAGTCCCATGATCCTTTAAGTAGTAACAAACGGTCCACTGTCCACTTCTCTTGGCAAAGCAGAGACCCTCAACAGAAAAGAATGCAATGGCACAAGTACGAGACCTGGCAGTGAGATCCCCCGGTGGCTTCCTTCTGAGGTTTAGGGCGCAATCCACAATCGTGCACATCTGAATCCCCACTCAAAAAGCTTAAACGCAGACCACCACCCCGCAATCCCCGAAAGAAAATCCTGATGACCGTAACATGACCTGCCCTTTCAGACAGACCCCGGCCTCACCACGCAAAGATGCCTGGGCCAAACAATGGGCTTGAACGGCTGGCAAAGAAGGGCTCTAAAAGGGCTCTACAAAGGCTAGGAAGGGTTCCCAGAGGGTTTTATAAAGCCTGAGAGTTCTGAAATGGCTCTATGGAGGGTACTACGCGGCCGCTTGCGGCGGGTGCTTCAGCTGTCCCAGTATTTGGGCTTGCTCGCCCTGGAAGAACAGCAAGCCTAAAGCCTCAAGCCCTGACCCTGGACGCCATCTGTGTGCATCGCAAGATACGACAAACACAACACCAACAAGCGCTCAAGCATAAACCCTGAGCCTTTTTTCAAGCCCTCAAGCCAGATTTCGGACAATAGATCCGGTGGCGGTCCAAAAGGAGACCAGCCCCAAAATGGTTTAGTGAAGTTTAGTGGTTTGGGAGTTTACGAAAAGTAGGGGTACCTTAGGGTTCATTTAAAAGGGTTGCTATAAGGGTACCATAAGAGTTCCTTGAAAGGGCGGGCTCCAAAAGGGGTGGTTGGGGCAGAGTTCAGGGCTCAGGGTTGGAGGGCTTAGGCCTTTCGAGTTTCACGGCTTTACACTTACACAGAAACGCTCAACCAACAACTCTCAACTGCAAACCCCAAACAACGGTGAGCTGACGATGTAACACCCTTGTGCCATAGAAGATGCATAAAACCCTTGCAGGAGTTCGATCCTAATTAATAATACCCTACAACTATTGCAGTACTCTAGACCCTAAACCGCTAAAAAGGCTTCAAACCCTGAACCCGTATATGGGGCCCTTGTAATCGCAAAACGTCTGTATAATAAGGCGGCGGCAAAGTCCTGGGCAAGAAGTTGCAAGTCGCCAGAGAAGTTGGAGGCCTCAACCACAACGGGGCGTGTCTTAAAGTTCAGGATACCCTGCTGAAGGGCGTCCACATTATAGAGGCCTGCTTTTCGCGATCTTCCCTAATATTTTCAGAACCCGCCGATTACTCCGAAGAAGGTGACGGCTCAATTTGGTTCATAAAGCCGTTGTCTGCCTGCCTGAAGACTTCTGCTTTCCGGCATAGACTCCGCTAGGGTTCGGGTTTAGAGCTTATGCTGTAAGAATACCGGTTCATGGCACAAGGTGCCAGGAGATCCTCAGTCGACATAGCGACTTCACACTACACTAGAGTACACTACGCGATATTCCATAGCAACATACTGGTTGCTATGTCCAAGCCTATGCTTCCAAGGACCTTACAGTTTCATAGGGCCCTAGATAACAAGGTCCCCGGAAGCATAGGGTATTACAGGATAGGCATGGGCATGGGCCATCTTGGGATCCTGCGAATCAAGAAGGCCAGTGCCGATTTGCACAGAAGCAAAAGAGCCACACAAAAACTTCGTCCTTTAAAGAGACTGCAAGAAGCTACCCCAGTGCACGAGGGTTCTACAAGGGTTTAGGGCTCCTTTAAAGCGATTCATAAGGGTTCCATAAGGGAGCTATCTTGGGATTGGAGACCTCGGCTTGCCTAACATTGCAATCAAAGTGGGTGACAACGCAAGACTATAGGGTTTAGGGTTTAGGGTTCAGGGTTTAGGGTTCAGGGTTTAGGGTTTTAGGGAAGATTATGATCTTGAGGCTAAGGCGTTGTGTTTAGTTGTGTTTAGGCCAGGTTTCCTCCACCGTTTGGCTGAGATCATGGCCGAACTCCCGGCAATCTCTGCTGCACGTACGCGCTCGTGCCTGGCAATGGCTCTCGGGCTGTAATCGGGCAATTCTGACGGACGCTAAGGCCGCTAAGGTTTCTTCCCACGACTGAAATAACATGAAGCTTCAACTGCCCAAGTATTGCTAGCGCACAAGAAACCACAACTCAAGCAAGACTGGGTCAGTTTGGATATATGATTATACGGATACGATTGTCTTAGCCTCAGCCTTAGGTGGTGTAAAACGTAGGAGGAACTCCAAACTCTAGCAGGATCAGGGTTTGGGGCATCCCCCCTCCGTCGGAGGGTACACCTGATGCAGGAATCAACTCTATGCGCGGCCCAGAAAGCGAGAGCCAAGAGCTCTGTAATCCCCAGGGCCCGCAGGATCCATGTGCCCAAATAGTACAGTTGAAATATACTTCGGCCTTGAAGTAATCCCTCTAGAGGTAGTTTGGGGTCAAAGTATCTGCTATCTGGGTGCTGGGACCCTTAAACTCTAAACCCCTATAGAGCCCTTACGGAAACCCTTCAAGGAACCCTTAAAGGATCCATACTTGGGTACTTGGACGCATAGGGTACAGAGACAGAACCCGGGATTTCAACACCAAGACAAGCGCCCAGGGGAAGCTTCTCCGAGTCGTCGACGTCCAAAGACCAAACGGTTTAGGGTTTTTAAGGGTTTAGGGCTTAAGGTTTAGGGCTTAAGAGTTTAGGCTCTAAGTTTTCTGGTTTAGGGTTTGTATGGTTTAAGGTAAAGCCCTAGACCTTAATTAAACCTTACACCGCAAACCCTAAACCCTGTAACTTAAAACCTTAAACTTTAGTGTTTTCAGGAAGGTTTTTCCTTCTTCACCCCACAACTGAACCCGCCACTCCAACTCCTGAGCCCCAGAACCGCCGACACCGCACCAGAAATCCGAAATCTAGCACACAAGCAGGATGATATCTAGATTTTCGAACTATGGTAACTATAATACATATAGTATAACTATAATATAACTGTATACATCAAAACCATAGTCTAAGTATTAAGGCCCCAATCTTACCCTGCATTCCGATGAATGGTCCTCCAAAGCGCTGCTAAGTGCCTATAGTCCACATTGTAGTTCCTTGACCAGGTTTATTTTATGGGATCCTAACTATATAGTTGGTTAACCAAGAAAGGAGCTACAATAAAGACTATGGGCAGTCTTGCAAACAAAGCCGAGGCCGTCGCAAGGACTTCAATTGGTCTTCCAGGCCGGCAAAGACGCGGCTCGTTTCTTTGGCCTGTGTGGGCACGAAAATTGCCTTAAGGGCTACTATCAAGGATACTATCAGTATAAGGTCTACTACAACCTTTAATTAAGGAATTCTCCTTAAATCATATGAGGGATCCTGCAAGAATTTATAATCCAGGGATATTGCAGTCTCCGAGCTCAAGTTTGATATTGGGGGGGTTCTGGCTTTGGCCTTGCAGCACGGGGTTGTTGACAACCGAGCCTAGGAACTTATTGGAATCAGTACTTCAGCTTGAAGAGCCTTTGAAGATGTCCTGGTGCGGCCATACCATAGAATCCTCACAGTGTCGCTTCGGACCCTTTATAACCCCCTCCCCCCCAAGAGTCCCTACACCCCGAGACCCCTGAAGCCAAAGCAAAGCGCTGCAACCAGCTCACCCCACCGAAAGCCCCGTACGCCCTTCCTTGAACGGCAAGGGCTTGCGCGGGCTAAGGGAGGGTTCAGCCGAGCAGGCCCTGAAAAGCAGGTGTTTTTGGTTTCGGGGTTTAATTAGGGTTTAGGCTTTAGGGTTTTAGGATTGAGGATAACATGGTCCCCGGTGACCACCCCACGCCGCGGCACCGAAACAGGAGGAGAGGAGAGTCCACCAACAATGATGACAAAGCCAGAGGAGAGTCGATCAACCCTGAAGGGCGGCACCGGCCGAGCCAGGATCATATGTATGTATGTATGTATGCATGCAGGCATGTATGCATGTGTGCAGGCATGCAGGTAGGTAGGTAGGCAGGTAGCTAACTAGGTAGGTACGTACGTATGTATGTATGTGTGTCTGTCTGTATGTATGTATGTATGTATGAGTGTATGCATGTATGTATGCATGTATGCGTGTAAACATGCATGTATGCAAGTATGTAGGCAGCTAGGTGGGCAGCCAGGTGGGTATGCAGGTAGGTCGGTATGTATGCATGCATGGTTGCATGTCTGCACATATGTATGTATGTATGTGTGTAACGCCATGCACCATATACGTTATATGCATATATATATATATATATATACAGACATGCGAGTGCGCGTGTGCATACATGTACACTTACAATAAGCACACATGCACACACACACACACACACACACACACACACACACACACACACACACACACACACACACACACACACACACACACACACACACACACAGACAGATACATGTATATATTCGCCTCGGCCCCGGCCGAAGCGGTCAGAGGTTCCTATTCGGATTCTCCTATTCCCCACCTCTTAATCCCCCCTCCCCCCCCTCCCCCCCCTCCTCCCCCCCCTCCCGCCCCCCCCACTCCCCCTTCCCTCCGCTCGCTGACAGGTGCGAACTTTCGGAGTTTTCGACGACACGGGACTGCAATGTAGCATCTTTATGTGCGTCTCAGGCTTGTTTTAGACGCCCTTTCGTTGGGATAGGCGGAGTAACGTGGTTGAAAAGGCTGTGATGCTTCCCTAATCCAAGACGCCCACGAAATCCACAGCCTCAACGGCTGCGAGAGTCTTGGTATCCAGTGTTTCGGAATGACGACACCAAAATTCGTACTGATACTACCACTACTAATACTACTCACAATCATCCTGCTTCGTGTTGCTATGAACATTTTTACTATAAGTGCGATTCCAACTGTTACTTTTTTCCTACAAGAGCTTGCTGCAGATAGTAGCCACTCGCCGCATGCGCGTACAGCCGGGCCGAGGCGGACGACGCGCAGCGTTTCAAATTATGTTATTTTATGTTGTTTTATATTATATTATATTATATTATATCATATCATATTATATTATATTATAGTATATTATATTATATTATATTATATTATACTTTATATATATATACACACACATCAGCACCAATGACTATGAAGGCACGTCGGAGTGACTCAATTCCGGCCTCCTTGTCGACGCGGGCCATGAGAGTGGCAGACAGCGCAGAGAAGCCTGAAAAGGAGCCCATCACAAATCACAATTCCTATCCGTAGCCCAGCATGTTCAGAGTGTCTCCTTATGCATGGCAATGGGAACGTACACCTCGTGAAGGGCTGATGGCTTCACGCTCGAGGGTGCTGTGTTCGCACAATCACTGAAATCCGGGTTGAGAGTTCAGAAAGGCTACAGTGTTTGAATTGGGCTGTCTCGTTCTAGTGGCGACACTAACCTCGGACAGAGCAGTCATATAGGAGATTCCGAAAATTGGGGGGGGGGTACCTTATTTCGGGTCCTTATAATAAGATCCTACTATTTAGGGTACTATATTAGGATCCCCTATTTTCGGAAACTCCCATATAGGATATCAGCCGGCAGTAACCTTGAGGCACATGGAAGCCCAGCGGGAAGATGCAGTCGTTGGGCCGGACTTCAGCCAGGACTGGTCACAGTTGAACATCGTTTTTTTTTATGGAATGAAGAAGCTCCTGCAAGTGCCCATTCTGCGTCACCGGACAGCGCAAGCACCCGACAGCATCAACCTTTGCCCGCAGTGACCCGTGACCCGTGTGGAAGACATAATGCGAACAAAAACATGCACCTGCTCGAGACACCATGCTGATCCACAGGACACACTAGCAGCGAAAGCCCCTGAGAAAAGGAGCGGCGCCTGACCTCACAAAGTCCAACAGAACCTCAAGCCCAAAACTAAAGTTCGTTAAATCTTCAATGCCTCAAAAGCCCTCATCCCCGATAGCCCAAAACTTCCTGGGCCACCGAGAGCAAAGCAAATCCGAGTCCGTGGCTGGCATGCTGGCGCTCGCTGCCGGCAAATCCGCCCTCTGTGGTAAGCCTGGAAGCGTCTTAGCAGTTGGTTCAGTGCTTACGCCTAGGCATCTAAGGACCATACTATGTAAGGCTTTTGTGCTATTTTGATGCCCAGGTACAGCTAAGCCATGGCACTTGGAGGGAGTCTAGGATTTCCTGGATGCCCTTAACATCGTGCATGTAGACTATTTTTACTTGTGGAGCCTCGTGTCTGGACCATTGCGCGAGCTTCTCCGACTGGCCCAGGCTGCCAAGCTGCCTCCGAGCACAATCAGTTCGCAGTGGAACCCATGCATCGGTTCCAGCAGGAGAACTTAGCCCACCGACGTTTGGATTTTCGGGATCCGTCTGGAGCCAAGTTCCACTATGGGGTGTGCGATGTGTCCCTTAGTCCACAGCTTCTGGCGCGGCTTCTTGCGGTCGACAAACAACTCCCAGAATGTGGCTGGCGCTTCCTCTCCTTCTTCTCGTTTTCCCAAAGTCTGAAGCATCCCCCAACGTCTTTCGCACAAACCTAAACCTGATTAAACACCTGAAAGCCTGAACCCACAACTCGCAGATTTTTAAACACCAAACCCCTAAACCCGAAACTCTAAAATTTGCGACACGGAAACCCAAACCCTAAGTATCAAACTTGCCCGTAAGTATACGTTGGCACTGGAAAGGTTTCATCCCGAATGCCTTGCTCTGGGCGGTCTTCGTGGTGGCACAACTCTCGCACTCAACATGTGGCTTGTCATGTCTTTTCTGTAGAGCCTTTACGGCTTATTGTTGAGGAGGTGCATCGGTTGAGGCAGAAGCTTCTAGCTTTTGTACATATGGAAGAAGTATGTTTCCTCTGCTTCTTTCAGGCTTCAGGAATTAGAGTCTAATGCGTCCCTGTCCCTTAATCATCTTCTCTCTGTGCCCGAGCGAAGTCCGCAACAGCCCGAAGCTGGGGCATGCCAAGATAAAGTGATGAAACTAGCATCTCAACATGCATACCGGCACTATGTGCATCAAAAGCGAGAAGCTCCAATTTCGTGGCTGAAAACAGTGCAGGGTTGCCTTCTCCAATCTGGATGGATGGGGCCTAAACCCTTTCGAAGACGGTGTCCATGACAATGTGAAGTCGGTGAACCCTAAACCCTGATCAGGATACTTGAACAGGTCTCTTCTGATATTACATCTGACCAAGAGAACTATAACCGCACACCGCGCAACCTTAAACCCTCATGCGTGTTGCATCGAAGGTATCTCCTTTTGTTCACCAAGGATCCAACTACTTAAATTAAAGGCTTTGAGGTACACAGAATCGCTTACAGTGTTTATTTTGGGGTCCCCCCCAGGCCCTGAACTCTAAACCCTAAACCCCAAACCCCCAAAAGCCCGATCCCTCCATCTTAAACCCCAATCCCAAGAGCTGTTTTCTCAGGCCATGACTGCGACACATCCTGGCGAAGACGCGACAAGTCCTGCAGTGAGCTAGGAAGCATGGTTTGCTGTGGAGCCGATGTAAGCAAGGTTGGGGTTTAGCTTTTGAGTGTTTACGACTAGTGACTAGGAGAGTGTAGTGTTTGTGATGGCTAGTGGTGGTGGGAGTTACCGCACGCTTTAGGGTTTAGGGTCTGCGATGCTTTGGGGTTTACGGCTTTCGGTTGTCGGGTTGAGGGTCTTGGCTGCGGCTGTGCCGGCTTGCCAGTCATCTAAAGTCCTATGTCGGTGTTTCGTCTTCGGCGAACCTTCTATATCAATATAATATAAGTACATATCTCCGCAGCTCTAAGGCGTCTACAAAGCTTCAAAGTCAACGGTTCTACGGTTCATATTGTAGCCCTATAAGGGTCGGTACCGAACTATCATATACTCTCCAGAATAGTACCCTACATAACGACTATCCTAAACCCGAGTACCTAATTATTGGGTCCTTTGGACCCTTCGGATACTTTGTCTACGCCCTGGAGCCAGAAAAGCTCAAAAGGCGAATTCCTCCGAAGTCGCTAGCCACCCCACCGAGAGACTCCAATATCCCTTAATTAAGGAATATACCTTAAATTATAGTAGGATCCCTGATATGATTTAAGGACTAGTCCATAATTAAGGGATATTGGAGTCTCTGGGCAAACTCCCAAACCCCACAGGGTCCAAAGTACCCATGTAGTAAAATGTACTGGTTCTATATTAGGAATTACTACTATGATTTGGGGAAGCATTCCCCGCAACAGTACCTAGGACCCTTCGGGACCCTAAAACCCTAAACCCTCAAAGCTCCCAAAACCTAAATACCGAAAACATTGAAGCCTGCAATCCCATGCAGGACCCGTGCCCCAAAAGCTTCACTTCGAGTCTGCAGTCTGGCACATCGCACAATACGCAGCAATAGCAGGGGCTCTAAGACTCGAAGGGCTTAGGGGTGGAGGCCCTAGGGTTGAGGGTTTAGGGGTTTAGGGTTTAACTTCATCACGGGTTATTCAGCCTCCTAAAAGCGAGTTCTGCAACCCCTTCTGTTATTGCAACAGCCCACAGATGTCCAAAGCGCTGAGAAGCATAAGGTCATTTCCCTTTCAGTCCCTGAACTACCTGACCTGTATTACAGTTTAACATACTGCGAAACCACATTCGGATTACTAGGGCAGCAGTACTAACTTCTTATCTTGAACCACACCGAAACCTCTAAGAGCGTCGAAAGTCACTCAGTAAGTCTTGGAGTTTACGGCACAGGGGACTTCAATGAAAGGCAGTTCGAGTTCAGAGCCGTTTAAGGGCTAACGGGTTTAGAACTAAACCCGCCAACCTAATACAAAAGCACGAAAACCTGACCTCTAAAACTTGAAACACTGGAAAGTCCACAAAAACAACCCTGGGCTTGATGAACCTCAAGTGCATGCTAAATCGCTTCAACAGTCTGACATGACGAAACCTTTCTCAAAGCCCGAAAAGAAACCACTACACCATAAACGACAGAAGCCTTGCACAAAAAGGCACCCGAAACTCCAACCCCCGTGGGCGCCTTTCGCAGCTCTGACATAGCTGCCTCCCGCGCCGTCTCCGAAGCAGCGCGGCGCTCGGTGAGGTCTTGGAGCCTTAAGGGGGTTAAGGGTTTATGGGTTTATGGGTTTGGGGTTTAGGAGTTTAGGGGGTTAGGGTTTAGGGTTTAGAGTTTAGGGGTTTAGGGTTTTCGGGTTAGGGCTTTAGGGTTTAGGGGTGTAGGGATTGGATTCGGATTTCTAGGGTTGAGGGTTTAGGCACGATAGGGTGAAAGGATTAGGATTAGGGATGGGTTCGTAGGGATTAGAATTTCGAGGGAACAAGGTTAGGGTGCAGATTTTGGAGTTTAGGGTGTAGAGATTAAAGGTTTAGTACACCGCCTAAACCCTATAAACCCTAAACCCTAGCCCTAACTATCAGGGGAACCGCAACTTTGACAAAAAAGGCGGAAGCCCAAAATCTTAAACCCAAACTACACCCCATCCGGGGGAGCTCCAAACCCGATACAAACCCTAAGCAGTAAACCCTAAAACCCTTGAAGCCCCATGCCTGAACCCGCAACTCTTTTCTGAAATTTTGGAACAACCCAGCCTGCGGCATGCCATGACACATGGAGACTTTTGCGTGTTCTTGCCCTCAACGGTGAGAGTTCTTCTTGGGTGAAGCTGACTCTAAGCCCAAAACCCTCAACCCTTGCCCTAAACCCTACACCCTCCAGCAGCCTTAAACATTTAAAACCCTAAAGGCATGGAAAGCCCTCAAATCCTCCATTAAGAACCCCTAAACCTCTAAAATCCTTGCAGCCCAATGCCCCGAACCCTCAATCCATAAATTCCTAAGCCCTAAACCCTAAATCGTAAATCCATAAACCACCCAAAATCCTTGAAGCCCAAAGCCTGTGCTTCCTAGAGACTCCAATACCCCTCAAATCAAATTAAGGAATATTCCCCTAAACCCTAAACCCTAAACCCTAAACCCTTAACTCATATCAAGGGTCCTATTATAGTTTAGTGGTCTCTGGGCTTCCCTTCTGGGCACCCACACGCTGGTAGCCGCGCCTCGGCGGCCCGCAACTGATCCAAAGCATCCTTCGTCGTCGTAGGGTTTTGGGGTTTGGGGTTTAGGGGCTTCGGGGGTTCCGGGGTTTAGGGTTCAAGGTGTTGGTTTTGGGGTTTAGGGGTTTTGGGGCTTGGGGATTTAAGGTGCTGAGGGGTTTAGAGGTTGAGGGGCTAGTGTGAGCAACCAAGGTGCCTCAAACCAGGTCAATGCACCAATTTTCGAGGGTCAAACTTACCTAACCCCTAAACCCTAAACCCCGTGCATCCATGCCTGGAGAGCCAGCTCCAGACGTGTCACCTGCCGCCGGTTGCCTCAGCAAACACAGATGTTTAGTTCCCACACGACCCTAAATACCTACCTTTAGGCTCCATTGTAGTTGTGGGTTCATTGTTCAAGATCCTATAAGGTATTCCCAAAAAGGAACTACAATGGAGCCTGTGGGCATATACATAATACAGTAGAAGGTAGGGCTTCTATATGAGCGACTGTCTAAACTTGGTTCATCGGGGCTAGGTCGCGCAATTGGGGGATCCGCCTTTTGCATTTCCGAGGTCTGACTGTCTCTTAGAGGGTTTAGGGCCTACGGCTCAGCCAAGCATCCTCACCACATCACACTTCAGAACTAAGACGCGTATTGATTTGTTGGTTCTTTGTATACCTGACACAAAGATTGACATGTCCGCGGGTTTTTGCTCATCAACTTGATGACCAAGACTCGGGGTTCTCTTTGAACGTCCGTCCAAAGCAGCAATGAACTGCTGAACATCAAACAAATCTTGACGACGATCGCGACAGCGGCGAAGCACTTGACGTGTCCAGCCAAACAAGCGATCAATGGTGCTCTTCATATGCTTCTCGCAGCCGACGTGAACCTCGATCGGGTTGCCCAGCTTCCTATGCCGTGTCACAAGGGTGGTGATGGCAAGACTCCATCGACCTGTAGTGAGGGCCGCAATCCGAAACCAGGCAAAGCTTTGCCATGCGGCAGTACTCTTCCGGCGAGAAAGTGCCAGCTGGATAAGTTGGTTCGTGTGCAGGGCTGTGTGGTCCAGTACTTGTGATACGACCAACATGTACGTCTCGATTGGCGCTGGCTTCACTTCCGTGGAAATGGCGGCGTCGCCTTACAAGGGGTTTAGTTAAACCAGCTATCTTATATTTGCAGATGTCCAGCCTAGACGAAACTACATAACACTAAGCTTTGCGATTGCTCATACTAGGAGTCGCTATTGTTATTTGGGAAAGTACACCCATAACGGTACCTAGGACCCTGGGGATTGGGGATTTAAGGGGGGACTTCGCGGGCTCATGGACTTGGGTTGGCAGGCTCCAAGTCTCAGCGAGCCAGTATGCTATACCCCCCTAAGAACCATCATAAAAATGATACTTAATGTATAATATTCTGTTGGGCTTTATATGAGCAAAATTGTAAAACAATCCTAAGGAAACTATAACATGCCCCACCAAGCATCTCCCACCTGTGATACGACACTAACTGTATTCTACAGCTGGGCAAGGAGCCAGGAGTACAGCCAGAAGACCCTCTAGACAGTGCGCCCAAGCCACAACGTGACGTCCAGAGATCTCATACAGATGGCTGTCTGATGGCCAGATAAGACTGAGGGTTTTGGGGGTCCGGGATATGCGCCTTTCAACAAAAGCACACCCCATGTTGCTGAAGTTGAACGTAAAGCCAAGACAAGGCGCTCTCTGCAAGTTCCGCTGTCGTAGCAGCCTGCATGCTTGATTTGTACCAGTACCGGTTGCATATCCGTCTTTGCTCCGGCGAGCATGACCCATGACATCTCATGAGCATACTGAGAAAGCTGTTGAGTTGCTTCCCACCACTTCCAAACGAAGACCTTAGGCGGGTCAGTGCGAAGGCACACACACACAACAGGTAACCCAAGAACACCCGGCACCGTCCGACGAAACATACGAAAGCAGGGCAAATCTTGCGGGCATTGGCAAAGCGGCAAACCAGCACAGCATCTGTTCGTGGTATCCCTATAAGGGGTCCAACTATGTGAAGGCGCTTCCGAGCATCAAACCCTGCACCGGGATCGTTGTAGAGTCGGTTTGAGGCCACGAAACATCCAAAAGCAGAAGCCCAAAGAATAGCTGTCATCCAAGAGCCTGACTCCAGATTGACGCCAGATCCCAGCATGCACCCGCAAACCGTGCCCCTAAACACGTGGCATTACTCTCTGAAGCCGAAACCTCAAACCTGAAACCCTGAATCCTCAAAACAAAAACCCTAACATAACCAAACCCTAGCCCACCTCGTGCAGCAGCCTTTCTTCGAGCTCTTTTATCCTGGCGTCAGGGCTTTGGATGTCAGGGTTGAGGATTCACGTGACTGAGTCTTCGGTTCAAAGCTGCAGGGTGCCTGGCTGTCAGGTTTACGTGTTGCCGGTGTATGGATAGATGCGATATTTGGCTTAGTTGCTGAATTCAGAAGCCCCAAAAAAGTGTACACTTTCAGTTTTATAGTGGGTAATACGCTTGAGGATAAATCTTGCATTACCCATGATAAGGATTCTACCATAATTCCCATAGACTCGGGCCATTAAGGTAATGCGGGATGTATATATCATCCACCGTACTATCCCAACAAGTGTAAAGTGTATCCACTCAGCTACTGAGCTGGGAACTGGTTCCAGCAGGGTCGGGCTGTTGATGATATGAATCCTGATTACCCATACTAAGGAAAAGACCATAATTCCCACAGTTTAGGGTCCTTAAGGTAGTGCAATATTTGAATCATCAGCCGGATGGCTTCAGATGCAGGTGAAGCCCGGCTGTGGAGCCTTTGTGGCCCAACATGTGCAGCAAATTTTCGAAACTAAGCCCTAAACCCGAAACCCCTAACTCCTAAACCCCTAAACCCTCCTTAACCCTAAACCCCCAGAACCGAAATTTCTGACCATCGCCATGAGTCCCCGCATAGGTCTTGCCATGGGGCTCCTTACAGGAAGGCTGAACATCACAACGACACACTGACCTCGCTCGCATGATTCTGTAGAATCATCACCATCAGCAACTCCATCATCACAACCATCTTCGCGATAATCATCGTCGTCGTCGTCATCGTCAGTGTCTTTGATGCTGCAAGCAGGGCCCTGCCTAGGTATCCAGTGCCCAGAACAAAAGTTGATTACTGATATTTGCCTGTACCCTGTTCACAGCTACCCATGAACCATGAACATCATCAGCAGCATCCATCCTACCATCCATCCAGCCAGCCAGCCATCCAGCCATCCATCCATTCACCCATCCACCCACCCACCCACCCAGCCAGTGTTGGCCAGCCAGCCAGCCATCCATCCCTGCATCCATCCATCCATCCCTCCGTCCATCCGTCCATTCATCACTCCATCCATGCATTCATGCATCCACTCATCCATGCATTCATGCACCCTTGCTTTCATGCATCCATCCATCCATCCCTCCCTCCGTCCGTCCATCATCACCATCTTGTTCATCATCATCATCATCATTATCATCATCAAGAAAACATCATCACCATCATGGAGCCTTGTGCTCTGAGCGTCTTCGCCTCACATCTGCAATCCCCTGTAAACCCCCCTATAATGAAGCCCCACAAGGTAGGGATATCCCTATAAAATGCTTATTCTTATGCCGTTTGGGGGTCCCTAATTGTAGGGTCTGGGTTTTCAGATAATGAAGCCCAACAAGGTAGCGATATCCGTATAAAACGCTTTTTGAGGTCCCTAAGTCCAAGCCTTCCATCTGCGATCCCATATTAACCCCCCCCCGATAATGAAGCCCAACAAGGTAGGGATATCCCTATAAAATGCTTATGCCTACGTCGTTTTGGGGTTACTGAAGCCCAACAAGGCAGTGATAACCCTATAAAATGCTGATTCTTATGTCCCTAAGTCCAAGCCTCGCATCTGCGATCCCATATAATTAAACCCCCCTATATAATAATCAAGCCCAACAAGGTAGGGATATCCCATGAAATCCCGAAAAAAGGCTTCTTTGAGTCCAGGCCTCACATCTGCGATGGAGTGACACTCAGCCCGCACGGCCGATGTCTGACCCCTGAGCGCGATGCATGGCTTACGCGGATGGAACAGAGCCCTAAACCCTAAAGCCTAATCCCTAAACCCTTTAATCCCTAAACCCCGAACGCTAAACCCTAAACTCTAACCCCTAAACCCTACACCCAACATTCCTAGCATGATGGCCTCTGCTGCTATTGCATAGATGATCTACCGATAGTTAAAACAAAAAAAGGCTCCGTAGGCTTCACCTAGTTGCACAGTGCTTCAGGGTGTCTACTTGGAGGATCATTTGGGTTATAAGTAAATAAAACCCTAAACCCTAAACCCTAAACCCATCATCCTCTAGGGCGCGGTGTTCGATGCTCCGAACTTGCTTTTTTCGCCTTGACTGCGTTGGAAGTCTCTGGGTTTGGTCTAAGCTTCCCCAAAGGCTCCATGTACCTTTATAGTAGATACTTAAGCCTTAAAGGGGTCCCTATATGGGTACTTTAAGGCCTAAGTATATACCATTTGGGTACATGGAGCCTGAGGGTTCAGTGCCTAGGCTCCGGGATGCCGCGTCTGATCACACTTCTTTGCAGCAACCCTTAACCGTTAACCCCCAGACCAGACCGGGCACTTGGGCCTTTTTTAAAGGCTCCTTATATGGATCCTATACTGTTTTGGGGTTATGGGCCCAGAGTTTCTTAATCAGGTTCCTACATTACCCTCCTTATATGGGTTGTCATCAATATTTTGGTCCCCTCTTGGATCCTCATTCTAGTACGGCACCTAATATTCAGGGTACCCAAAAAGGGGCCAGAATTTTGACAACCACCCATATGAATCCTATACTATTTTGGGGTTGTGGGCCCAGAGTTTCTTAATCAGGTTCCTACATTACCCTCCTTATATTAGAATCCTACATTTTGGGGTTATGGGCCCAGGGTTTCTTAATCAGGTTCCTACATTACCCAGGATACCCAGTAACCTAAGAATAAAAAGGCCTCTCTTTTTGGTATTGGGTAACTTTATAAGGATCCTAGGACTACAAAAAGGGAATAAGGGTACTACTGGGCATCCTAGCCCCTAATTTTCGGACACCCTAAACCCTTTATAGAACCCTTATAGATCCCTTTAAGGAACCCTTGTAGATCCCTAAGGGTACTACTGGGCATCCTAGGGATCTGCCCTAGATTAGCCTGGGCCCGGAACATGAGTTCAAAGCCCTCCGGCCCGGCTCTCTACCTAGAGGCTCATACCCCAAAAGGGGTCTCCAGAAAGTTAGAATAGGGTTTAGGGTTTAGGGTTTAGGGTTTAGGGTTTCTTAGAATATGGTTTCAGGGTAGGATACCTTCTAATTTACCATAAAGGGTTTAGGATAATCATATTCCAACTTTCTGGCTTTTACTATACCCCTTTTTTAGGGCGCCTACTTTTTCAGAGAACAGATCCCAACCATAAGACGAGGTATCCTAAAAAAGGGGTCGGGTATGAGCCTGTAGGTAAGCTGTGGGCCAAAACCTGGAATCTTATCGAAGGGCAGGTCTTGAGCAAGCTGTTTCGGGGATAGCACCTGAAGTTTCCTTGAGGTCGGGTTCCCGGTTGCATGAATCGGACCCCGATCCGGATTTGTGGCTTGGGCATCAGCTTCTGGGACTATTTAGGGTTTAGGGTTTGGGGTTTAAGGTTTAGGGTTGTTGGGGTTTAGAGGTTTGGGGGTTAGGGGGTTAGGGGTTTAGGGTTTGGGGTTTTGATGCCACACTGGGGCACACGCTGGATGCGCTCGAGCTTCTGGAAAATGCCTCAGACCCAGTGGCAACCATTGCAAACGGACATCAGAAACCAGGGCTTTGCTCCACAACCCGATTCAAGCACCAGTGCTTATAGAAGCCTTAAGAAAAAGCGGTTGTGAGTTCCTTGGGTACATTAGCTTCTCTCATAAAACCCTGATGAAGGCAAAGCTTCCCAGCATAAATGCAGCTGTGAATTCACACCTAAGGGTCCAATTGCCGAAATAGTTGGGTTGCAAACACCAGAAGCCACCGTTCAAATCCATTCAATAATACTGAAAGAAACCGTGATATTGTTGTGCCTGCTCGGTGCTCGTGCCTCCGAGGCACTCTGCCCTTTGTCAGAGGGTAAGTCTCGCTCGATTCGGCGGTAAACCTCGCCTCGCACCACACACACCCAGAGAACCCAATCTCCCTTTAATATACCTTGCATTGTAGAGGCCGTAATACTATGATTTCAGGTATATTCCTTAACTAAGGTGTGTTGGGGTCTCTGGGCAGGCTTTCGTCTTAAGTTAACCGGGACTTGAAGCAGCACAGTCCGCTGTAGAAGGAGTCTCGGGAAGTCGGTTTTTTGGTAGAAACGTTTCATAAACGGTACATCCCAACACGTGAACCTAGAACCTAAACCGTATAGGTCCCAATCACAACACCCGAAAACGAACGGATTCCACTTGGAGGGGCGGCCTCTCGGGCTTAGGGCCATCAAGTTTAACATGAGCTTTGAAGCTCTGTTAAGGATCAGGGCTAATGGCTTAGGGCTTGGGGCGTAGGTCTTAGATTTTGGAGCACATAGCCTAAAGCTCGGGGTTGCACCTCTCTGTCTCTCTCTCTCTCTGTCTCTCGCTCGCTCCGTCGCTCTAGTTTTTAGAAGATTATATTACGTTTGAAGGCTTTAGGGTTCAAGGCCCATGGTATAGACTGCACATGCTAAAACT